GAGATTAATGAGCTGAGATGAGATTAATGAGCTGAGATGAGATTAATGAGATGGGCTGAGATTAATGAGCTGAGGTGAGATGAGATGAGATTAATGAGATGGGCTGAGATTAAAGAGATTAGATGTAATGAGATTAATGAGATGTGATGAGATTAATGAGCTGAGATGAGATGAGATTAATGAGCTGAGGTGAGATGAGATTAAAGAGATTATATGTGATGAGATTAATGAGCTGAGATTAATGAGCTGAGGTGAGATGAGATTAAAGAGATTAGATGTGATGAGATTAATGAGCTGAGATTAATGAGCTGAGGTGAGATGAGATTAAAGAGATTAGATGTGATGAGATTAATGAGCTGAGATGAGATTAATGAGCTGAGGTGAGATAAGATTAAAGAGATTAGATGTGATGAGATTAATGAGCTGTGATGAGATGAGATTAATGAGATGGGTTGAGATTAATGAGCTGAGGTGAGATGAGATTAAAGAGATTAGATGTGATGAGATTAATGAGCTGAGATAAGATTAGATTAATGAGATGGGCTGAGATTAATGAGCTGAGGTGACATGAGATTAATGAGCTGAGATGAGATGAGATTAATGAGATGTGATGAGATTAATGAGCTGAGGTGAGATGAGATTAATGAGATGAGATAGATTTAAGAGATTAGATTGATGAGATTAATGAGCTGAGGTGAGATGAGATGAGATTAATGAGCTGAGATGAGATGAGATTAATGAGATGTGATGAGATTAATGAGCTGAGGTGAGATGAGATTAATGAGATGAGATAGATTAAAGAGATTAGATGTGATGAGATTAATGAGCTGAGGTGAGATGAGATGAGATTAAAGAGCTGAGATGAGATGAGATTAATGAGTTGAGATGTGATGAGATTAATGAGCTGAGGTGAGATGAGATTAATGAGATGAGATAGATTAAAGAGATTAGATGTGATGAGATTAATGAGCTGAGGTGAGATGAGATGAGATTAATGAGCTGAGATGAGATGAGATTAATGAGATGTGATGAGATTAATGAGCTGAGGTGAGATGAGATTAATGAGATGAGATAGATTAAAGAGATTAGATGTGATGAGATTAATGAGCTGAGGTGAGATGAGATGAGATTAATGAGATGAGATGGGCTGAGATTAAAGAGCTGAGATGAGATGAGATTAAAGAGCTGAGATGAGATGAGATGAGATTAATGAACTGAGATGAGATTAGATTAAACTCTATTTATCCCAAGATGGAGCAGGTAAAAATTCTGTCATCAATTACTATTTTGAATGTAGATTAACAGAAGATTCACTGACCAGTTTTCAGTCACTGGGTTGTTACAAACAGGCAGTAAGAACTGCTGCTGAAGGAGAGGATAAGTGAATATTACTTGCCATGATTAACAAGGAGAGTGTATTTTTGCTCAGGTTTATGGTGATGCGTTTGGATGCAGCTTCCTGTCTCCTTTTAACGACCAATAGCAGCTGACGTCTGCATTTGTGAGATGTGTTTGGAAGTTTCCCACCTCCTTTTGTCCTCTATGAGCAGGAAAGCTCAACTTTTCCTTGTACATCTCCAGACTGATCATGTTGTGTAAAACACCTGTGGTTGTCATGACAACCTATAATTGCATTTTTTCCCCTTGTGGTCATTTATTTTGTCCCGCAATCTGCAGCTGGACTAGCTTCCAGCCAGACATTCAGATTGTTCTGTGTGCTATTTATGTGCAAATGTACTCTGTGATATAGTGGCCAGCACTAAATTAGACACCAGCCTCCGTTACTCTGCTGGAGTCAATTCAGGGCTGTAATGTACGGGAAATCATTGTCACCAGCATCACAGTGAACATGTGTATCCACACCTGGTTTATTTATCCTTGTAAGTGACAAATTAACTTTATGAACCTTATTCTCGCACTATAAAATAAGTAAAATTAGGTTCTAATTATAGCACTATAAGGGAGATTCATGTAGACAGGTTTAAATAACACTTTTTTTTATATAACTTATAGTCAGTAGCTTAGCAACAGCACAGCACATGTTGTTAGAGGCGTTTCCCCGGGATTAATATGAATAAAGATCAGTTCTGTTAATCTGCTTTTCTGTGTGTGAGCTGTTCACAGCACTCCACTGTCAGGAACAGTTAGAGTCCCTTTTGATCTCTGAAGCTGGAGTGAAGATGGTTATTTGCACCGCAGTAATGAGTTGTCATTCTTCTTACCTAGCAGCACTCTGTGTTCTGACCATCAGTGCCTCCACCCTAACCCATGCTCAACCCCTCACACATTTACACGCCACTGGTCACACATGTCTCCCTAGCTGGACAGGCTGTTTTACCTTGTAATGAGGTGGGTGGAATAAACGGTGTCTCTTCATCCTAACTGTTAGAGATGCTGTAATATGACCATCTTTGTTTGCTGCTGTTCAGATGAATAATACAACCGGTACAGCAAAAGTCACATCAACACACATAGAAGTGACTGTTGTACCAAGAAGCACGGAGTACAATCAGACCTCCAGATTAACATATAAAGTTATTAGTTTATAACGGAAAAAGTAAAACGACATTTTCCTGTTTGACCATCCTCACCATCGGCACTGCTCTCACAGTCATCCGAAAAGATTAACTAGCCGTACTTTGACAGATTAATTCTAGGGAAGCTTGATATTGGCTTTTTTTTTTTACCAATATCCATTAATGTCTAACTCTTAATTTCCAATACCGATACATGTGAAGTCCCCACTAATGAAACAATGAAAAAAAATAAAAATAAATAGGCTGAAAACATCACTTGTTTCCTATCATGAATGCTTAAGCTTTAAACATTATCTGTGCAAAATGACAACTACTTCAGTTAGTAATTGGAAACAACGTCAGGCTTAAATTGTTTCCAACAGCAGCTGGATGACATTCTCCCTGAGATAATCCTGAACGATGCTCTGTGACGGCTTTAGGCCGCAAGTAATTATTAAGTTCATGATGGGAACATTTTTGATGAATAAATGAATAAACAGCGCAAGTGAATTAATGATAAAATGTTTTAAATGTTTTAGGTTTTGAAAACAGATCAAAGTGAGACATTGCTGTTACACACAATCTTTGTTCTGTTGTCTGTGCAAAACACAACAGCGTGAGCGCTCCTAACTCAGACCTATCACGGATGTAGTGTCCATTTCCTCCGCTATCAATGTTTACATCTTACATTTAGAGAAAAACGAGAATCAACGGATCATGAGCACGCTGATTTTCCTTTATAGTTTGTGCCTTGGAGAACATTTGTCTTTGTGAGTATCGATTTGTTTAGGGAATGTTTGGGTGTGTGTTAAAGTTACTTCCTTGATAAAACATAAGCAGCATGAGCATACGGTAAAGTCTCTTTATGGAGTATTTTTCTTATCCGATGGCACCATCTAGTGGCTGGCAAGCATATCACACAAATAGTTTCCCCTTTCGTTTTTTTAAGATGGCGACTTCACATTTCTTATTTATTTATGTCCGTCTGTAGTCGACAAACAGCTAAAACACGTTGTTTTACAAGTATTATTCTCATGTCATGTTGTGTTCTCATATATTTTTATTTTAGACTTACTTGTTCGTGAAAAGTTCATAAACTCTGCATCAGCCGAGGTATTCCTTAAATTTGAAGCAGGTAAGCGGTAGTCTAACGCTATTGGTTAGTTCTGGTCGGCGTTTCCTATTGCATGGAGCTCTGCGGGGCTGGGGGCGTGCTTAGCAAAAAAATAAAAAGATGTATTGCTTACATTTTTTCACAGTACATGACGAGAGAATCCCTTTTACTTATTTCTGAAAAATCATGCATAATTTCTGTTAGGGGAAAACTCTGGAAAGATACCTTAAGTTAGGCTAATTGCTAAGTGCAATGCTAAGGTTTATGCATAAGTCAGTAATGTATTTTTTCTGTTTCTGTGTATTGTAGTTACGGCGATAAAACATTTATTAGGGTCTTCGATTAAGAAAAGCAAGCCTCGGGTGAAGATTGTTGTTCTTGTATTAGTTGTTTGCTGGCTAGCTACACTTAGCTATATGTGCTATGTGGCAGATCCTCACTAGACAAGGCAAATTCCTAATTATTCACAAGTTGTGCCAAATAAAACTAAAACATCTCAAAACTAAATCTAAGATCTGACATATTTAGGTATTCTGAGAGAGAAGAGATGCAGCCAAAGAGTTTGATGTATAATATGTACATGGTATTTAAAGGTTGGGTCACTATAAGAGTAAAAACCGACATCAATACTTTACGATATTACATTTGATGGCCAATATCGGCTGATAATATCGGTAAAGCGATAATATCAGACATCCCCAATTAAAACGTTCATTGTTAGTATGGATGCTTTTTGATCAGTGACATCACTCGCTGCCAAAGCAGTCACAATATGCTGACGTCTGTGCAAAGTCTGGAAAGGGCTGCATTTGTATGGAGGCACAACAGCTGAGAGGCATTTAGTGCCAACCACAGCCTTAAGACATGTGTTGAACATCCCCAAGTCCATACTTATGAGACCACCATGTGAGCACCTGTGTGTGTACACGCGCTTGTTTATGTAAGGTTTCTCTATAGAAGTGTCCAATAGAGAGTGTGAGGGGCTACAGATCTGCCCCCCAAAGATGCGTAGGAGATGGAGGGAGCTCCAAGTCCCAGAGATTCAGGAGCTGCCCCAGAGCACAGGGACCCCAGGGAGACTGCGACCAGAAAAGCCCCCCTCAAGTGACGCAGAGGATCGCCCCGGGGGGCCACAACCAGCAGCCGGCAGAGTCCCGGGAGATATCAGCGGCAAGCCCACAAGCCTGCCCGCAGCCTCCCACCCCCAAGCCGCCCGAGCCCGGAACCCAGCGACCCAGGACCCTGGGGCGTCCAGTTTTCTTAAGATGGAGTCGTTGAGTGAAAAATAGCAATCAGACCAAGAACAGAACCATGAGGAACTCACAAGAACTTCACAAGAAGGACCTGAGCATTAACAGATTAACCGAGGCTTATTGATAGGACCTGATCATCTTTAGAAGCTGTGATGTCACTGGGTCTCTAGAAAGGAGGGAGTCTCTTCTTCTATTTTAGCATCCTGCTATTAGAAAAGCTGATTCCAGAATGGCAGGTGATTAGAAAGACAGCAGCCCAAGCTTAGATCATGTTTGTTTTTATTACATGCACCTGCAGAGCTAGCCAGAGCATCGACATTTATTAAGACACTACAGAAGCTTTCACGGCCTCAAACGGTCGACAATCATTTATAAAGGCACAAACAGCAAGTTGAAAGGTAATGCACTCTACAACTGACTGGTTACATAAAAAATACAACGTTTAACAGTCACAGCTAAACGTACTGTTGCAGTTACGGCACAAAAATATCACTTTGACATTTAATCATATGTGTCGTTTTAGAAAGTAAAGTCTTGTATGAATGTCTTCAGCATGCAGACAGACTCATGCAACCAGCCTGAGTGGATAAAACAAATACCTGAGTAAAGCAACACTGGAGCAATACTGAAGAATCAGCCTAAACAGTAACCGGGCAAGTGTCAGAAATAAAGAATAAAAAGTTGCTATCACTTCAGTGGCATCTGTCCATGTAGACCTTTTTCACACCTTCACACATTTCATTGGGAACAGACAAAAAAAGGACATAGAACTTTTCAGACATGACGGCTGTTGGATATTTAAGTTCCTAAATTATCACCACCCAAAAAAAATATCTGACTCGATAGTTCGCCTCTGTGTTTTGGTTCCAAATCAAAATCGTCAGTGTCCTTTACATTTCCCACAGACACAGAACTAAGATGTAAATGGGCAATACGACTAGAAGAAGGAAGGCTGGAACAGACACTTCCTTCCTGATAACCACGGTGAACGAGCCTGTTTGCCCGAAACACTTTTTACAAAGAAGAAAAATAGGAAAACACTTTTGAAAAGACTTATAAACACCTGGATCAGGACTACACCCACCCAGAAGGTGAACCGGGCTTTAGGGTACTGGAAACAATACCTAATGCTAAATAAATCGAGTCCATCTCATTATGAAAAATAAAGTTAAAAAAAGCCATTAAATCAAGATACAGTGGGTACAGAAAGTATTCAGTCCCTGTCAATTTTTCACTCTTTGTCATATTGCAGCCATTTATTAAAATGAATAAAATAATTTTTTTCCTCATTAATGTACACACAGCACCCCGTATTGACAGAAAAACACTGAATTTGACAAATGTATGCAGATTTATTATGAAAGAAAAACTGAAATAGCACATGGTCCTAAGTATTCAGGCCCTGAATTTATTTAATTCTTCCGGCTCTTGGAGAGTGCAGACGCTTTTTTCCTCCTCTCCACCCTATCTTACCCTCAAGGCTCGTTGTCTGTCTTTGGGTGCACGGCTGCTTCTGCATTTTTTCTGGAAACTGGAATTACTAAAATGGATCTTGTCAGTTGGTCAATTAACTCGATTGACAAGATTTTTCAACAATGAGAACGGGAGAAGGGGCTCCCGGATGCCCCTCTGGGACAGAGCCATATGGGCATATCATGGACTCCTGGAAACAGTGGAACCTGATTTGCCTCTCTCAGCTGTCTGTGGAGGATTCTGAAGACGTCTGGATATTCGTGGTGTTGGTGTCAGGTTTCCTGCTCTTTGGCCTAGGAGGCTTCCTGGCTTAACGAGCTGTCGAGGAATATTGGCGCTCTCCCCGAGCTCAGGGATGGATTACACAGCGCTGTGAATTCACAAACTCACATAATTGTCAAGGTGAATCGTAAGCTTGGAACTTTGGCTGAGATTCATGCGTTGGCACACAAGATGGATGCCGTCAAGGAGAAAGTGGGCGAATCAGCACGTTTGGGATAGATTAATTTACGCCATTATTGGGATTTTGAGAGGTTGAGGACCAAGGAACTTTAAGACAGAGAGGAAATTATCTCTGTCTGGCCCCAAAACAATTTCTAATCTGAATCTGGTGCCCTTGAGCCTGTGAGGCTGCAACGGATACTCCCCCGTCAGAAGACATGTGGAATGCTGCCGTCGCTATGGCAACTCTGTCTCCTATCCCAGCCTGGGCGGGACTGCGGGCTGTGAAGGCCGCCTAATCATTCCAGGAGTCACTGTGCCCTCCAAACCTCAACAACCTCCTTCACCTGTCCACACTGAGGTGACGTGCGCTGCTTATCTGGGCTGCAGGAACTGACGTGTGGAGAGTCCCAAACCCACCCCCCCACCTAGTGGACACTTATGTTGTGTGTTGTCTGAAGTCTGTTGCATCTCTGTCTGAGGTGTTTTTTTTTTTGCATAGCAAAGCTGCCCTCTCTGTGGAGGGTAACTCTAAAGTGCCTTTTTTTCCTCCACCTGAACCAATCCTCATATAAACCCTCTGATCTCTATTATGGTATCTCAGGGTTGCGAATGACCACAGTCACCAGTTCTTGTCATGTGTCTATGCCTATGTATGTCTGATCTCTGAATTGTGTGTACTGAAACTCTAATTTCCCCGTGGGATTAATAAAGTATCTTTGAATTGAATCTGAATTAGCAAATGGCTGAGTGAAACATGGATGGGGTCTGAATACCAATCCGTACCCATTGTATACTGGCTCTAGTTGGAGAAGCAAAGTGCAGGTCAGAGTGGGATCACATGATGGAGTGTTGCTTTCCAACCACAGATCTTATCAAATATATCAGTAAATCTTATTTTACAAGCTTTTCTTTTATAACTGTTCATTAAATATTCAGATATTCAGACTGGAAGTGTCTCAGACCGCACTGGAGACAGCCGCCGCTGTTCATTCTAAAAAGTAACATGCTACATTGATTGGGGCTGTCTATGTTATGTTTTAAGACTCAGCCAAGCCATAGTTATATTCAAAAGTCAGTTTCCAGTTTACTCCTCCCTGACAGGTTTCTGTTTTTTGGGAAAAAGGTCTACCGCTGTAACCAGGCCAGCCTATTACTAGCCACCGCAGTGATAGCTGTGTCGCCGAGTCATCAGATCTAGGAGTATAAAAGGAACTAGAACTATTAAATGAAAGCAGTTTACAGTAGTTGTTCATCAAACTTTGTTTAGGCACTTGTGGTAAATGAGCTGCAGTGATATCAGGGGCGTTTGTTGTTTTTCAGAGCAGGACTTGTAACCGTTGCTCAGATTCAGCATAGTTGTGTTGCATCCATCATCAGTTATATTTTTAACTCAGTTTTCTACAAGCTTTACTAATACAATAGTTTTTTCTTTTTGGAACGAGTCTTTGGAATGTCACTCAGCCAAAGTGATCAGAGCTGCTGTGGCCAAGGGTTCAAAATGAATCATCACTGAGTTTTCTGCCTCAGATTTCACAATAACGCTTTACATGAACTCCAGCATGGTTCAAGTTTCATCAGGTTAATTATACTGAGTTGCCATGAAAATGAACGTATTTCCAAGAAAAAAAAGCTTCTGGGTTCCCAAAAACAGTCCTGCAGCACCATGAGCATCTCCTGGAATGTGTGTAGCTGTGAGATCATGTCTTCACCTGAACAGGTGAGAGCACCTTCAGCGAGGAGAAGACTTTTGGAGGACGGCCTGGTGTCTGGTAGGGAAGCAAAGAAGACACTTCTCTCAGAGACAAACATCAGGGACAGATGGACGTTCTGCTAAAGGTCCAGGGATAGGAGGGCTGATAAACAGAGGGAAGTCATTTCTCTAGACTGCATAACTGTCATAAATCTACAAAAGTCATAACATGTCTCCTTTTAAGAAATCCTATCACTGAGGATGAAGAATGAGCTCCATCAATTTGAATCTGGTCCAGAAGGTGATGTCAGAGCGAACTGCAGATGTCTAGAAGATGGAGGATCATGGTAGAAATTGCAGAATGAGATTGTGGATACAAGCGGCCGAAATTAGTTTTCTCCGAAGAGTGGCTGGGCTCTCCCTTAGAGATAGGGTGAGAAGCTCGATCATCCGGGAGGGGCTCGGAGTAGACCTGCTGCTCCTCCACATCGAGAGGAGCCAGTTGAGGTGGCTCGGGCATCTGGTCAGGATGCCTCCTGGATGCCTCCCTGGTGAGGTTTTCCAGGCATGTTCAACTGGGAGGAGACCTAAAGGTAGACCCAGGACATGTTGGAGGGACTATGTCTCTCACCTGGCCAGGGAACGCCTTGGGATTCCCCAGGAGGAGCTGGCCCAAGTGGCTGGTGGAGGGGGAAGTCTGGGCCTCTCGACTTAGGCTACTGCCCCCGCGACCCGACTTCGGATAAGTGGACGGACGGACGGTCGGTCGGTCGGTCGAAATTGCATTGCCCAGCCACCTGGATTTAAGTAAGCAAACAGGTACGAGCCTCCTATTGGACAATTACTGCAACAAGTTGTTTAACCCCAACTGGTGCAAAGAGTTGCTTCTCATTTTTTAAGCAACCATGTGGAAAGTCACATCTGGTGATCGTGGAAAAGATGATGTTTGTCTGTGTGAGAAGGGTCAGCTCATTGGCATGCATCAAGCAGAGGAAACATCTAAGGAGATTACAGAAACAACTATAATGGGATCAGAACTGTCCAACGCACTGTTAAAACTGGTCTGGTGAGTCCAAATGGACCGTGTTCCAGAGCGATGGTGCATCAGGGTAAGAAGAGAGGCAGATGAAGTGATGCACCCATCATGCCTAGGGCCTTATTATCAACAAAAGCCTTTAAAGCATGAAATGATGGGAAGTATACTTCTGTAACCATAGAAACATCTGACAGAAAGATCTCTAAATACCAAAGCAGAAAACAGTGAAAATCAACACGAGTCATTCTCTGAACTGTCGACCACAGCTCCAGTTTGCTGCATATTTCCATATGTCAACTTATTTTGATGTTCTGGTTTACCTAAAAGTTCATCCGATGTATAAGTTACCAGTACACCTACACTTCTCATCAGTGTTAGAGTCCCACCTCAGCATCTGTCAAATCTTAACCCTGTGGTTCTTTTCCTTGTTTCATAAAAAAAAAAGACTATTTTTCAACGAAACTTTGTTCATGTTTAGTATTTTAGGTACCCTACCCTATAGCTAGTTCTAGTAGACCCAGGCTAGGAACAATTAATTAATAATGATTACTTTTGCATGAAAATCAAATTGTTTGGTGCAGCTGTTCAGCTCACATTGTAAACCTTTTGTTTCTATCTAGTTTAATTTTGAACTTGTTAAACACTCAAATGTTTGTGAGCTTCTTTTGATTTAAAAAAAATACTTCAACACGACCGGACTTTCCACTTTGAAACAGATTGAAGCAAAATTTCAAACCATTATTTGTATCATTAAATAATAATAAACTACAAGTCAATAGGATACAAATGCACAAACTTCCATTTATACCACACATAAGAAATATTTATATATACTTATCAACACACATATGCAGGATTTTCTTCTTCTCTTTGCATATTTTTATGTCTGCTACAATTCAACCAAAGAGGACCATGATGCTCGTGGACGTGAGGGAAGAGTGAGCCAATTGTTAGTTAGTTCAGTATCTCACTGGGCTGGAACTAAACACAAAAGTGTAAAAGGGGGGTGCGGTTGGTCAAGACTGGTAGCAGAACTTTCCTAAACAAGACGACCTCGGTGACCTGATGACAGGTCATAAGAAACACTCTAGAGCCCTGGCATCACTGGATGCTCCTGCCTGACAAGCACCACCACACTTGTGCTGTTGTATAGTTTCAGTCGAGAGCAAAACAGTAGTCCTCGTGTTCTCTTGGCTGCTGTTCATGACTGCTAATAACACTACAGTCCAGTGAGAGACAGGCTTTAGGACCAAGATGCATCTGTAGAATTGATTTTTGTTCGTTTTTTATATACCACCAATCGCCAAAACCAGTAAATACATAATAATAGCACATGACAACAAATCAGTTTAAGTTTTTTAAACTAGTATTTTGTGCATTCTGCCCACAACATCCATATGACAACAATAGTTGTTTTTTTTCTGTGAACTTTGTGAATATGCTTTGACTTTAACATATGTAGCATACCTCTGACACATCCTGCACCTGTTCAGCACCAGATGACGCAACAGCTTAAACAAAGCGTCTCTGAAGAGCCTGTGATATGTTTGGAGGAACAGCACAAATCAACTGAAACACACCGAGTTCACTACTGCAACAAAAACCAGACTCCAGAGCTTCAGCTGCTGAGGAGATAATGGTACAGCCTCCGCTAGCATAGTATCATATGGTGCTGAGTCCCTTACTGGTAGGCCTCAGACACTGTTGGGGTTGTAACAGAGCATGTTGAGCTGCAGGTTCTCATCCCAGTGTCTGAGAATGATGAATAGCTGATTGGCTGCAGCCTTGATGGAGGCTAAATCTTTCCCCTCTGGGATTTCCTGTGCACTCAGCCACATGCTGGCTTTGGCAGCCACTAGTTCCCACTCTGTGAAATAGCTGGCAGAGCTGTGCTCCAGCCAGGCTAGGGCCACGGCCGTCGCCCACACCATGCTCTCTGGATCCAGCATCCTCGTCAACACGCCTCCAGGTAATATGGTTTCCGAGCCCCCTGGCCAAGAGGTCCGCGCTCTATCCACCTGGGAGGGAAGCAGGGGCTCGACGGCAGGAGGCTGGCTGGCAAACGAGGAGGGAACAGAGTGCGACCCCACGTTCCCCGACGTAAGAGAGGGACTGTTGATGCCAGCAACCTGCTCTGCAGCTTGTTGATATGTTTCTGGCTCCAAAAGTGATCTGGACCCGCCATCGGCACTGTCAGCACGGCGGCTGCTGGAGTGCGACAGGTGGCCCAGACTCGTACGGTGGCTGGAGAATGGAGAAGTCCATTTCAGCTTGTCCATCGGCACGTTAATGGCTTCACACAGAGCCAGGTCCAGGGGAAATGCACCACTAGCTAACTGCAACAACACCTGCACAGAAGGCAACATTTCAGTTAAAAAGGTACAAACTGGTTTAGCATTAACCTTCTCTACAGCTGCTGTAGATGAGTCTAAATCAGTTTTCATGCTGATGTTTTTTAAATTAGTAATAAGATGAGAGATGAAGGTGCACCTGAGCCACAGAATGAAAAGCTTTCAGATGGACTACTCTGCATTTTTAATAATGTTGATCATTTACTGCCCAAACCTGCACCTTGTAACTGAATTCCTTGTTGCTATGGAGGAAGTTGTTTTGCACAAGGCAAATATTTTATGCACGTTTCATTCTGAAGCTGCTCACCTGTGAACGGTGACTAATTTCCATTGTAGATGAACAACAATGACTCTGACAGGTGCAGCCTAATTGGAGCTTCTGTCCGGATTGTGGTTTGACAGGTTTGTAATATTAAACGTGTCAGGGTTTGATTAGCACCACGTTCTCCCCTAAGGCCTAAAACACCTGTCTTTAACTGCTTTCACAATCATTCATTAAAGAAATGTCAAATTATTGCTGAGCTAAAGTTGTCCTTTATTACTAATTATTAGTTATCACTCCCTTCATCCATCCATCCCTTCATTTATCATCTCTCTATCCATTCATCCCTCCATCCATCCATCCATCAATCATCCATCCATCCATTTATTGTCACCATCCATCAATCCATCTATCCATCCATCCATTTATGATCACCATCCATCCATCCATTTATCATCACCATCCATCCATCCATCCATCCATCCATTTATCATTACCATCCATCCATCCATCCATCCATCCATTTATCATCACCATCCATCCATTCATTTATCATCACCATCCATCCATCCATCCATCCATCCATCCATCATCAATCCATCTATCCATCCATCCATTTATGATCAACATCCATCCGTCCATTTATCATCACCATCCATCCATCCATCCATTTATCATCACCATCCATCCATTCATCCATCCATCCATCATCAATTCATCTATCCATCCATCCATCCATCCATCCATTTATCATTACCATCCATCCATCCATCCATCCATTTATCATCACCATCCATCCATTCATTTATCATCACCATCCATCCATCCATCATCAATCCATCTATCCATCCATCCATTTATGATCAACATCCATCCGTCCATTTATCATCACCATCCATCCATCCATCCATTTATCATCACCATCCATCCATTCATTCATCCATCCATCATCAATTCATCTATCCATCCATCCATTTATCATCACCATTCATCCATCCATCCATCCATCCATTCATCCATCTATCCATCCATCCATCCATCCATTTATCATCACCATCCATCCATCCATCCATCCATCATCAATCCATCTATCATCAATTGATCCATTCATTCCTCCATCCATCCATCCATCCATCCATCCATCCATCATCAATCCATCTATCCATCCATCCATTTATCATCACCATCCATCCATCCATTTATCATCACCATCCATCCATCCATCCGTCCATCAATCCTTCCTTTCATCATCCCTTTATCCATTCATCCGTCCACCCAAACCAGGGATACACTGATAAGTTGGTTGGTGGATGTATCAGGTCAGTATTTACCTTTTTTATCCATCTCATCAGCCAATAAGCCTCTTAGTAAATGGTAAATGGTAAATGGCCTGTATTTGATATAGCGCCTTCTAGAGTCCTGGAACCCCCCAAGGCGCTTTACAACACAATCAGTCATTCACCCATTCACACACTCATTCACACGCTGGTAGGGATGAGCTACAATGTAGCCACGGCTGCCCTGGGGCGCACTGACAGAGGCGAGGCTGCCGAGCACTGGCGCCACCGGTCCCTCCGACCACCACCAGCAAATGTGGGTTAAGTGTCTTGCCCAAGGACACAACGACAGCGACAGACTGAGCGGGTCTCGAACCTGCGACCTTCCGATTGCGAGGCGAGCACTTAACTCCTGTGCCACCGTTGCCCCACAAGAGAGCCGATTTAAAGTCAGGCACATCTGATGGCAGCCCCGGAGCTAGGGCCGAATGAAAGGGACCCTGAGTCAAAACTTCAGGAATACATTCCTTGGAGTAAAACGTAAGGTTTCACTTCTGATATTTTAAAAACCTACAGCTCTTTATTTGGTTTATGCAAACTATGAAGTGTTGCTTCACCAAGTGGAAGGAAACAATAACCAGTACAGAACCGGTGGTTACTGGTTTAATCCATTTTCCTGTGAGGGAATGGGAAAATTTCACCCTGCATGGGACGAAGAAGGAAGCTCCACTACAGCGCGACTCGTTGGCACCATGGTGTTGATAACCTTTTTAGTCTAGTGCCGTGGCTTGGAGCACCTCATTTGATTAGGCGACTTCCATTAGCATACATAGTGAATAGAAAATCACAGAATTTGATCACTATATGCAAGCAGTTATCTGTTTATTCACTGAAACATTCATTCTTCCAATCAAATCTGTCTCCAGCTGACATTGATCTCCCTCTAACAACACGTGTGATGAATGAACATTCACTTGAAGAGCGTAGATGCAGTGCTCACCAGAGGGATGTAGTCTTTGCTCTCATTTTCACTTTCTCCGATTGAATCACCGGACTTGCTGTGTGATCGGCACATGAATCCTTTGGCAGCTCGAGTCAGAAGGCGGGTCCTGCTGAGGGCCAGCCTTAGAGAGCAGAGAGAGAGCCGGATTTAAACCATGAATACTGGGTGGGGCGCAGCACACACCTTTGTTTGGTTTGATCTCCAGCTTCTTCCATTGTAGAACTGCATATTCTGACCCTATTTTTACAAAACTTTATGTTTTTATGCAGTTTAAGGAATTTGAAATGTTAGAGATGTGACCGGAATACAAAACAGAAGTAACTCAGTTATTTTTAGATATGAAAATCTAAAATGTGGACATACGGAGGACATGAACGTCAACCAAACATGGACCTTTGTTGTTGCACAGGGGCTGATCCTAAAGGAGCCTGATCTCTCCCATGGGTGAGGCTTGTTGTTTGTTTGTTTTCTACAGTTGATATTTGTGCCTTTCTGTGCAAGTGACCCCAAAAGCAACACGGGAACTGTTTCAGATTCCTGCTGCTGATGATTTCTGCTGCAAATGACCACTAAATGTAAAAACTCATGTTGTGTGAATTTCAAGCTTAATAAAATAGTCTTTTGAGGGAACTTCTGTGACATTTTGAGATTTAGGGGTGTTTTAAAATAGCATTAAGCATTAAAATTTCATGCCTGGACCCAACGCTACTAATCACTTTCCACATAATCCCACATTAGGATCTAAACTGGGATTTGTTTCATCACATTTAGGTATGCAAAATTGATTCTTAACTAAATGTGGCTACTTTTACAGCTCACTAACTCAAATAACCATTACAAGTCTCTGGATTTTAAACATTCGTGTTAAAGTTACAAGAGCGCACGTGAAGGACGGAGCCAGTCATAAAACTGCTGGGAAGAAAATGTCGAGGCAAATCTTACAAGGCTTACAAACATCCTCTAGGCTACTGGAACATGCTGATCCATGTCTTACAAAAGAATAGAAACACTCCAGACTACTGCTGATGAGGAGCCGAGACCTGATGCAGACTGAGTGGAGGGAAGGTCAGCCTTTTCCGGCTGCACATCTCCTCAGTCTCTATGATGAACCTCGCCTCGTTAATCAGGTTCAAATAAATTATTTCATGGTCATAAATAATGATGTTCATAAAATCAACCAAACTATTCAATAAATTCTCTACATTATGTTTTACAGCCATTTTTTTTAATCTTTTATTTTCATTTATTGACATTAAAATAAAAATACAATCAGAACTAAATTGCTGCAAGCCAAAATGAAAAAGGGGACAGAAAGAAGAAAAACTTATGTTGTCTGCCCCTTTTAACTAAAATAGCATTAATACAAATGAAATAATCATATGATTCTTAAAGAAATTGAACAATATAGTTCCTGGACCTGTTGGCCGACAAAATCTCAACCCATGAATTTGAGAAAAAAATAGAAAAAGAAAACAATTTACACAGAAAGAAGCATTAAGTTATAGATCTATATACATACATATATACACATACGAATACATACTAGGTTATTTTTTTTCCTTTCATCCCCCCATCCCCCTCCCCTCACACATTTATGTAACGATCTATATAAGTTAATCGTTTTATTTTTTATCTCTTTTTTGAAAGTCCCTATTGTTTTTGCATTCTTGAGTTCAGTATTCAATTTATTCCACAATTTAACTCCATATATGGAGACACAATGTTCCTTTACGAGTATCCGATGTCTAGGTATGTTAAATAATTAATGTCCCTTTAATTCATATTTGCTATGTCTTTTTGTAAATCGTTTAATTAATCCTGCAGGTACGTTCCTTTTGTTTGCATTATACATAAATTTTAAAATATTGTAGTCCACCAGATCATAGAATTTTACTGTTTTTAATTTAATAAATTATTTTAGATAACTACCTGTTTAAAGTGTCGATCAAACAAACTTGGTTGAATAAGTGCCCCTGCAGCTGTTGGTTCTCACTGCTGTCTCATCTAAAACCCACACACAGCTGTCAGGGTAGGATAAAGATGGTTCCAGGCTTTGATGTTTGAGCCTCAAACACAGTTTAGACTCTCCCGAGATGGATCTGCTTGTTATCATACAAATCCCGCAGCGATCCTGCTGCTGCTGCTCAGCATTAATTTAAAACTCTACTGGTTATGAAAGTGAAGGAAATTTTACCAAAAACACGCATGTGTACCTAAATACGTTTTGATTCACTGCATTGGTTTCTCAAAAAATGAGTAGAAGCATCTGCTGCAAAACAGAAGCACTTAATTTTATCCAGAAGCAAATGGAAAAATCTTCATTTGAGAGTTTAAAAGAAAACATTTCAGACAGACTTTGTTGCATTCATGCTCAAATGGGATCGTAAACATTGCATCCATGCTGTCAGGAGACATTCTCTCATTTTGAAACTTTTCTTTGATCAGCTGAAAAAGATTTTACTCTTCAAAGTTAATTCTGACATTTTTCAGGTGGATATGGTAATTTATAACAGCGGTTCCCAACCTGGGGTCCGTGACCCCCAAAGGCAGGAGTGGAGAACCCTGGTCCTCGAGGGCCAGTATCCTGCATGTCTTTGCTCCAACACGTCTGACTCAGTGGTTGATTCATCTGTTCTGCAGCTCATCAAGCTCTGCAGAAGCTTGTTAATCACCTTCTGATTGAAATCAGGTGTGATGATGCCAGGTTGAAACTAAAATATGCTGGATAGCGGCCCTCGATGGACCAGGGTTCTCCACCCCTGCCCAAAGGGGTCTCCACAATTTTGTCTGTGCTGAGGTTGCAAGGCTACAGAGATTATATTTGACAAATTATATTTATAAAATACGAATAACTCACCCAATATTACAATCAAGGCTCTGCATAAGAGTTGTAACTCCATATGTCTGTAAAACGTTTGTAATAATTACTTTTGATGTGTGTCTCTGGGGGTTAGGTTTTAGGGTTATGGTTGGGGTTACGGTTGGGGTTAGGAGTTCAGTCCTGGGGCCTCTTTTATAAAGCTTGCTGAAAAGGAAAATGTGGTCAGAAAACAGTGTAAGTCATCTTCTATGCAAACGTGATTTAGAAGTAAACAGTGACAACTTTAAGAACACTTTGGACCTGGAGTAAGCACAGTGCGCACAGGGAAACTGGTGGCACAGCTGGTGAGATCGAAAATTAAAGGGACACCATGCAGTTTTGGTTTGCTTTCAGCACCCCCTAGTGTCTGTTAGTAAAACTAAAAGTGAAACTCTCCTCCTTGGTGTGTGTTCATCTTTGTAACACCTTAATCTAATGGCTGAAATGTCTCTTCAGCCTTTATTTGTTTCTACAGGAGTTATTCATCACTGAATCAAACAAATCCACTGTGTTCTTAATCTAAAAGATGCAGAAAACATGCTGGAAGCAGATTGCAGCACTGCTATGTCAGCTCCACTTTACTAAGTCTAACAGCCTGCCACTCTGAAGTTGCAAGTGGAAAATTCTGGCCACAGCGGGCGGTGGGTCTGATTGACTTGTCATTAACCCTGTAATGGGTCATTTTAGTACACACTGGCTCAAGACGATTATTTAAAAACATAAAAAAGTTGCATAGTATGGCTTTAATGCCACATTTTTAGACATTGTAGACCTTCACACACGTACAGACACACAAACACACACAACTACTCACACATACGCACTTGTATTTGTATCAATGTGTCATTGACTTCCATTCATTTTAGTGACTCCACTATGCCTAACCTCAACCATAACCAATGCTGTTCTATTCCTAATCCTAATCTAAACCTAAATTAATTTACACCATACCTCTAAAAATAAGTTTAAGGGTATTTTGTCCTTGTGTGGACCAGCCAAATGTCCCTACAAGGTGGACATGTCCACACATTACGGGTTAAAAGTTCAAATTTGTCCACTTAAGAATATAAAGACAAGCACATCCACACAAATACAAAAACATCCATCCCAGATCTGATAATAAAAATGAAAGACCTTAATGCAAATATGTTGTTTTTAAGATGCCACATTCAAATGTAGGCTACGTCTACAAATTCCTTATTGGTGCATCAATTGCCTAATGCTCGACAGCAATTTCGATGTGAATCAAACTTTAACGCTGCACCACAGTGCACTGGAGCAGCTTTTGGGTTTCCATGAACTAGCGGGAATAATCTGACAGGCAGGTTGATATTTGTTTAACAAGTGTGGCATTTCTGTTAGCCAATCAAAGGAGAGATATTTGCATATTAATGTAAGACTTAAAATCTTGCTGTTTTCTGCTTCTACTTCCTGAAACAGACACGCACAAGCTATTTTCTACAGAAAATGACTCACAGGGCATTCGTCTAGTAGAGACCACAGCAAATGTGCCAACTCCTTGAAAAGGTCCAGTTCAACAGATTAGGATAAAATGCGGATGTTTTTAATATTCCTTCCTGTGTGTGCGTGCGTGCGTGCGTGCGTGCGTGCGTGCGTGTGTGTGTGTGTGTGTGTGTGTGTGTGTGTGTGTGTGTGTGTGTGTGTGTGTGTGTGATTGTATTTGCTGTGCAGCCACAGCCTTCAGTACCCACCTTGCAGAGAAAAGACTCTCCAATGACTTCTGTGATTGGTCGGAGGTCACAGATGGACTCCTTTGGGCCACTTGGAGAAAGACAGAAGCAAGATTATGAAAAAAATAAGATCTTTCATTTTATTTTTTTAACTTCCAGATTAAAATAACTGAGATGAAGCTGTGCACTCATACTCTAGCAGCTGTCTCTTCAGGGGAAATGTCTTTATGCCTTCTTAATGTCCTCATCCTACAGTTAGTCAACACGGGCCAACAAATGTTGTCAACCAATTTCATTGCTTGCGGGAAGTGAAGTTTAAATGTCAATAATGTCATGTTTCACATTTGGAACGATGCAGCTTTGTGTCTCAGAAAATGGCAACTGCTTCCGAGGTGATGTGTGTTTAAAGGTTTTTGTGGGGAGACGTGAAGGAGCGTTCTCCAGCCGCTGATGTGTTACGCTCACCCTCAGTGAAGCTGCATTTCTCCCAGCCAGCGGAGGACGGGGTGCTGCATGGAGACATGCCATCTTCTGCACCTGAGGCATAAACCAGAGGAGACTCTAGAACAAAGTGCATTTTAAAGTGACAGTGTCAACTCATAGCAGATTAATTCAGCATTTGTTTTAATCTCCATCCCAACCCGATATTCTGCTGCAGTTTGCTGCAATATGCAGAACTCTTGCTTTTGTGGTTTGCTTTTAACAGCAAATTCTTTTCAGAAGTAACTGAGTTCATTTAAAGAAGAAAAGCACTTATAACGCACTTCAGTAATTTGCTCAAATAGATCAATTAAAGGTCTAGCAGTTCCTGAAGGAACTCATACAGTACCAGCAACACATTTAATGCTAGAGTTACAAACTAAGTGTGGAGAAATGAAAGAGTTGTGTATTTTGTTTTATTGGATCTTTAGGTATTGTGTGAAATGTAGTATCAGATATGACTACAAACCTAGGGAAACAGGGGGAGTGTGCCTTTGCCTTACTCAAGTAGAGCTTGGACTCATGAAAGTTGACATAAAGGAAACTATGAAAATGTCTTTACTCAGTAGCTTGCAAACTTTTCAAGTTTTCAATTCAAGTTTATTTATAAAGCGCCAAATCACGACAAGAGTCGTCTCAGGGCACTTCACACAGTAAACATTCCAATACAGGTCGGTTCATTAAGCCAATCAGTAAAAAGTTTCCTATATAAGGAACCCAGCAAATTGCATCGAGTCACTGACTAGTGTCGAGTCTTTACAGCAATCCTCACACTAAGCAAGCATTTAGCGACAGTGGAGAGGAAAACTCCCTTTTAAACTAAGATAATCCCTAAACAGCATTGGCTCAGTGGCATAGGCACCAACATCCTCATACTAAGCAAGCATTTAGCGACAGTGGGGAGGAAAACTCCCTTTTAAACTAAGATAATCCCTAAACAGCATTGGCTCAGTAGCATAGGCACCAACATCCTCATACTAAGCAAGCATTTAGCGACAGTGGAGAGGAAAACTCCCTTTTAAACTAAGATAATCCCTAAACAGCATTGGCTCAGTGGCATAGGCACCAACATCCTCATACTAAGCAAGCATTTAGCGACAGTGGAGAGGAAACTCCCTTTTAAACTAAGATAATCCCTAAACAGCATTGGCTCAGTGGCATAGGCACCAACATCCTCATACTAAGCAAGCATTTAGCGACAGTGGAGAGGAAAACTCCCTTTTAAACTAAGATAATCCCTAAACAGCATTGGCTCAGTGGCATGCCACCAACATCCTCATACTAAGCAAGCATTTAGCGACAGTGGAGAGGAAAACTCCCTTTTAAACTAAGATAATCCCTAAACAGCATTGGCTCAGTGGCATAGGCACCAACATCCTCATACTAAGCAAGCATTTAGCGACAGTGGAGAGGAAAACTCCCTTTTAAACTAAGATAATCCCTAAACAGCATTGGCTCAGTGGCATGGCACCAACATCCTCATACTAAGCAAGCATTTAGCGACAGTGGAGAGGAAAACTCCCTTTTAAACTAAGATAATCCCTAAACAGCATTGGCTCAGTGGCATAGGCACCAACATCCTCATACTAAGCAAGCATTTAGCGACAGTGGAGAGGAAAACTCCCTTTTAAACTAAGATAATCCCTAAACAGCATTGGCTCAGTGGCATAGGCACCAACATCCTCATACTAAGCAAGCATTTAGCGACAGTGGAGAGGAAAACTCCCTTTTAAACTAAGATAATCCCTAAACAGCATTGGCTCAGTGGCATAGGCACCAACATCCTCATACTAAGCAAGCATTTAGCGACAGTGGAGAGGAAAACTCCCTTTTAAACTAAGATAATCCCTAAACAGCATTGGCTCAGTGGCATAGGCACCAACATCCTCATACTAAGCAAGCATTTAGCGACAGTGGAGAGGAAACTCCCTTTTAAACTAAGATAATCCCTAAACAGCATTGGCTCAGTAGCATAGGCACCAACATCCTCATACTAAGCAAGCATTTAGCAACAGTGGAGAGGAAAACTCCCTTTTAAACTAAGATAATCCCTAAACAGCATTGGCTCAGTGGCATGGCACCAACATCCTCATACTAAGCAAGCATTTAGCGACAGTGGAGAGGAAAACTCCCTTTTAAACTAAGATAATCCCTAAACAGCATTGGCTCAGTGGCATGCCACCAACATCCTCATACTAAGCAAGCATTTAGCGACAGTGGAGAGGAAAACTCCCTTTTAAACTAAGATAATCCCTAAACAGCATTGGCTCAGTGGCATAGGCACCAACATCCTCATACTAAGCAAGCATTTAGCGACAGTGGAGAGGAAAACTCCCTTTTAAACTAAGATAATCCCTAAACAGCATTGGCTCAGTGGCATGCCACCAACATCCTCATACTAAGCAAGCATTTAGCGACAGTGGAGAGGAAAACTCCCTTTTAAACTAAGATAATCCCTAAACAGCATTGGCTCAGTGGCATAGGCACCAACATCCTCATACTAAGCAAGCATTTAGCGACAGTGGAGAGGAAAACTCCCTTTTAAACTAAGATAATCCCTAAACAGCATTGGCACAGTGGCATGCCACCAACATCCTCATACTAAGCAAGCATTTAGCGACAGTGGAGAGGAAAACTCCCTTTTAAACTAAGATAATCCCTAAACAGCATTGGCACAGTGGCATGCCACCAACATCCTCATACTAAGCAAGCATTTAGCGACAGTGGAGAGGAAAACTCCCTTTTAAACTAAGATAATCCCTAAACAGCATTGGCTCAGTGGCATAGGCACCAACATCCTCATACTAAGCAAGCATTTAGCGACAGTGGAGAGGAAACTCCCTTTTAAACTAAGATAATCCCTAAACAGCATTGGCACAGTGGCATGCCACCAACATCCTCATACTAAGCAAGCATTTAGCGACAGTGGAGAGGAAAACTCCCTTTTAAACTAAGATAATCCCTAAACAGCATTGGCTCAGTGGCATAGGCACCAACATCCTCATACTAAGCAAGCATTTAGCGACAGTGGAGAGGAAAACTCCCTTTTAAACTAAGATAATCCCTAAACAGCATTGGCACAGTGGCATGCCACCAACATCCTCATACTAAGCAAGCATTTAGCGACAGTGGAGAGGAAAACTCCCTTTTAAACTAAGATAATCCCTAAACAGCATTGGCTCAGTGGCATAGGCATCAACATCCTCATACTAAGCAAGCATTTAGCGACAGTGGAGAGGAAAACTCCCTTTTAAACTAAGATAATCCCTAAACAAAATTGGCTCAGTGGCATGGCACCAACATCCTCATACTAAGCAAGCATTTAGCGACAGTGGAGAGGAAAACTCCCTTTTAAACTAAGATAATCCCTAAACAGCATTGGCTCAGTAGCATAGGCACCAACATCCTCATACTAAGCAAGCATTTAGCGACAGTGGAGAGGAAAACTCCCTTTTAAACTAAGATAATCCCTAAACAGCATTGGCTCAGTGGCATAGGCACCAACATCCTCATACTAAGCAAGCATTTAGCGACAGTGGAGAGGAAACTCCCTTTTAAACTAAGATAATCCCTAAACAGCATTGGCTCAGTGGCATAGGCACCAACATCCTCATACTAAGCAAGCATTTAGCGACAGTGGAGAGGAAAACTCCCTTTTAAACTAAGATAATCCCTAAACAGCATTGGCTCAGTGGCATGCCACCAACATCCTCATACTAAGCAAGCATTTAGCGACAGTGGAGAGGAAAACTCCCTTTTAAACTAAGATAATCCCTAAACAGCATTGGCTCAGTGGCATAGGCACCAACATCCTCATACTAAGCAAGCATTTAGCGACAGTGGAGAGGAAAACTCCCTTTTAAACTAAGATAATCCCTAAACAGCATTGGCTCAGTGGCATGGCACCAACATCCTCATACTAAGCAAGCATTTAGCGACAGTGGAGAGGAAAACTCCCTTTTAAACTAAGATAATCCCTAAACAGCATTGGCTCAGTGGCATAGGCACCAACATCCTCATACTAAGCAAGCATTTAGCGACAGTGGAGAGGAAAACTCCCTTTTAAACTAAGATAATCCCTAAACAGCATTGGCTCAGTGGCATAGGCACCAACATCCTCATACTAAGCAAGCATTTAGCGACAGTGGAGAGGAAAACTCCCTTTTAAACTAAGATAATCCCTAAACAGCATTGGCTCAGTGGCATAGGCACCAACATCCTCATACTAAGCAAGCATTTAGCGACAGTGGAGAGGAAAACTCCCTTTTAAACTAAGATAATCCCTAAACAGCATTGGCTCAGTGGCATAGGCACCAACATCCTCATACTAAGCAAGCATTTAGCGACAGTGGAGAGGAAACTCCCTTTTAAACTAAGATAATCCCTAAACAGCATTGGCTCAGTAGCATAGGCACCAACATCCTCATACTAAGCAAGCATTTAGCAACAGTGGAGAGGAAAACTCCCTTTTAAACTAAGATAATCCCTAAACAGCATTGGCTCAGTGGCATGGCACCAACATCCTCATACTAAGCAAGCATTTAGCGACAGTGGAGAGGAAAACTCCCTTTTAAACTAAGATAATCCCTAAACAGCATTGGCTCAGTGGCATGCCACCAACATCCTCATACTAAGCAAGCATTTAGCGACAGTGGAGAGGAAAACTCCCTTTTAAACTAAGATAATCCCTAAACAGCATTGGCTCAGTGGCATAGGCACCAACATCCTCATACTAAGCAAGCATTTAGCGACAGTGGAGAGGAAAACTCCCTTTTAAACTAAGATAATCCCTAAACAGCATTGGCTCAGTGGCATGCCACCAACATCCTCATACTAAGCAAGCATTTAGCGACAGTGGAGAGGAAAACTCCCTTTTAAACTAAGATAATCCCTAAACAGCATTGGCTCAGTGGCATAGGCACCAACATCCTCATACTAAGCAAGCATTTAGCGACAGTGGAGAGGAAAACTCCCTTTTAAACTAAGATAATCCCTAAACAGCATTGGCACAGTGGCATGCCACCAACATCCTCATACTAAGCAAGCATTTAGCGACAGTGGAGAGGAAAACTCCCTTTTAAACTAAGATAATCCCTAAACAGCATTGGCACAGTGGCATGCCACCAACATCCTCATACTAAGCAAGCATTTAGCGACAGTGGAGAGGAAAACTCCCTTTTAAACTAAGATAATCCCTAAACAGCATTGGCTCAGTAGCATAGGCACCAACATCCTCATACTAAGCAAGCATTTAGCGACAGTGGAGAGGAAACTCCCTTTTAAACTAAGATAATCCCTAAACAGCATTGGCACAGTGGCATGCCACCAACATCCTCATACTAAGCAAGCATTTAGCGACAGTGGAGAGGAAAACTCCCTTTTAAACTAAGATAATCCCTAAACAGCATTGGCTCAGTGGCATAGGCACCAACATCCTCATACTAAGCAAGCATTTAGCGACAGTGGAGAGGAAAACTCCCTTTTAAACTAAGATAATCCCTAAACAGCATTGGCTCAGTGGCATAGGCATCAACATCCTCATACTAAGCAAGCATTTAGCGACAGTGGAGAGGAAAACTCCCTTTTAAACTAAGATAATCCCTAAACAAAATTGGCTCAGTGGCATAGGCACCAACATTTGAACAGCACAGCTAAAGGTGCAACTCCCTTTCTCTCAGTATACAATGAGTTATAATCATAGTGTTGTTTGTCTGCTGACTCCGATCAACATGTTGGAGAACCACGATGAGACATGGATGACTGGAACAGTGTATAAGAAACGGAAGACATTCTAGTAGAAACTGGTTTTGTTCTGGTGATAGGGCCCAGGGCTGTCGCCAGAGACTGACCTCGAAAAACTACAAACTGCCACGGTACAAACACACACCATCAGCTATGGGTACAATAAACAGTACCTTTGATGGTAACACCTCAGCAGCAAGACGTTACAGCCCAAAAAGTACAGGAGTTGAAACGTTACCTCAGTATCTGTAGGACTGTAGGTACCGTTTGGTAATGTTGAAGTGGGTGGAATCCAATTGTTATTCAGTCACTTGATTTCATTAACCCTCTGGAGGCAGGCGTTGCAGATTTGCAACAGTTAATACCTACCTGGTTACTCCACACACGTATTTCATGAGCACTTTTTAACCCAGAAGTACTCCTGAAGGACTTAGTTGTTCGTCCTTTCATCAAAACTTATTTTGAGCCTGAGAGGGTTAAAACATGTCCAGTGGTGTGGAAGACATTTTGCTAACTGACCAACGACACTGACTCCAACGGTCAACTCCAAACACTGTGTGCCACACATAAAGATCTTGCTTCGTGTGTGTGATGGAGATGCCTCTGAGCCACTGACCCTTAAAATTTTAGCTCAGTATTTGTCAAGCTGATGGAATTTTCTTTGCTGAAGTCACGGGCGACCATCTTGAATGAAGATGACTCCAGTCGAGTAGTGGATACCCATCAGCGCGGTCAAAAACTTCATCTCACTTTAGGTGGTAAAACTAACAAATGAAGGACGATCTCTTCAGGTGGTGAGCAACCAGGACCAATCTGACACACTGACATGTTCTAAGCCGAAACGTGAATTTGCCATCAGAAAAACAGACGTGTTAACTCTGGATATTAATTAGATAGAATACGGTGTTCAGAAAAGCTTTAAAATGGATAACTCTTGATAAACTCACACCTAAGAGGAGGGATTAGTGTGAAGTGTTTGTGGCCAAAGTGCAGCTGAAGGAGTATCTGAGCGTCAAGCCGCCGGTGGAGTGTTAGTTTCAGCTCAGTATGTGCACTTCATTAGGATCTCAGTAAACTGAGAAAAAAAAACCGCCAAATTTTGTTGTTTTGTCAGTTTCCCCCGTCTATACTTGTAATCACTCCAGTCTTGAGAACCTTTTGTTTTGTTGAACAGACGTTAGTACGTTCTGCAGCTCATTAGCTCAAGTCCCTCCACGCACCATCTTTTGTCACTATCAGATGCTTGAGAGGCTTTCGTTCACCCTAGCTCGTGCTGTTGCTATGCCATCACAGAAAATCTTTTTAAAATACTGTCCTTTTGCTGAAGTAATTAACTTTAATAGAGCGCAGAAACTATTCTGAGAATTTGGTATCTTGCAGTTCCAGGAGCTGCAGGTGTGAGATCGCAACCTTCTCATTTCAAATCAAGACATTTGAGAGTTATTTACAAGCGTAAAGACCTTATTATGTTTCCCTGCTCTTTCTACAGTGTTATTTTCATGTTTAAATGATGTTCCGTTTCGTTATTTAGGAGTGAAAATACAAGATAAGATGAAAAGGTGCCATACTGTTAAGCAGCAAAATATCTTCAGCTTCTTCTGACATTCCACCGGAATGAGAGCGACCCAGTCCGATGGAGTACCCGCGGCTCTTTCGGCTCCCCGATCGAGACCTGGAGCCCCTCTTCTGACCTTCAAACAAAACAGAAGATTTGTGAAACTGGGTTCAAGTCTCAAGCAGCAAATATTTCTTTTAAACTTTCCACAGCTAAAACAAAAGATTATTTACCTTATTTTACTTGATTTAACAGCTCAAAATGTTGGTAACACTTTACAATAGGGGTCCCTTTATTAACGTTACTTAGTGCCTTATTAAAGATGTTGAACACTCATTTAAAGGGATACGTTGCAACTTTTTCATATTTTTTAATCGTTTTCTTGGGCCAGCATGTGATAATATAACCCTTTTATGGGTTAATGAAAGCCACCCAGCCTCTATCGCCCCCTGTGGTCAGAATATTCCACCTCAGGCTGGCTCTGTTGGGACTTTGAGCTGACATACCAGGTGCTGCAGTCTGCTTCCAGTACATTTCCTGCATGTTTTAGATTATGAACACAGCTGATTTGTTTAGTTTAGTGATGGACCACTTCTGTAGACACTAATGAAGGCTGAGGAGACGTTTCAGCTGTTAGATTAAGGCGCTACAAAGATGAACGCACAGCGAGGAGATAGTTTTGCCTTTCCAGTCGTGAGACACGATGGGTGAGTCCATGAACGTTAAGTGACAGTGTGACATAGATTGGTCAGTCTTTTCTAATCCTAGAGTTTCACCATCATCAGAAGCTAATGCAGAAGATAGGTGTAGGAGACTATTTTCATGTTCAGGCTGCATGAAACACTCAAGAGTAATTGATTATAATCAGAAATAATAATTAGAAAAAGTTGATTTTCAGTGTTTCACACATTTTAACGTTAATAAACAAAGAGTTCCTTTATTATTGGTCCCGGTTGTGTTAACTACTATTTTTAAGGTTATAATAATAATAATAATAATGCATTGAACTTATTTAGCGCCTTTCTAGACACCCAAAGACGCTTTCACACACTGCTAGTGATGGCAAGCTACTTGTAGCCACAGCCGCCCTGGGGAGGTCTGGCAGAGGCGAGGCTGCCATTTGGAGCCGTTGGCCCCTCTGACCACCACCAACACAGGCAAGTTGGGTGAAGTGTCTTGCCCAAGGACACAACAGCAGGATCCCCTGGCGGGAGCTGGAATCGAACCCATGACCCTCCGATCATGAGGCAACCCGCTCTACCACCTGAGCTACTGCTGCCCCAGGTTAGGACAAAATGTCAGCGTGTGGAGGTGTCTGTCTGTTTAGTAAGGCATTACATAATATGGTGAAGCTGTTGTTAATACTTGATTAAATATTGCATTAATGCTTAATAATGCACTAAAATTTAAAAATGGACCCTTGCTGTACAGTGTTACCAAGACGTGTTCCATTTTTTTTTTTTCAACCAAATCTTCTGGATAAAAAACAATCTTGTTCCCACACTTTCCCAGGAAGTGGGCTCCGATTGTGTTTGACGATGTTGATCTTTAAACATAAACAGAAGATTGACAGACGGGTGTTTGAGCTGCATAACTTACTGGTGTTTATGTATTCAACACACGTCTGCAAATACTCATTGGTGTCCAGGTCAATGGGAACAAATGCGGTGTATTTGCTCAGTATGTTGCAGGCTTTGCTAGAGTGAATGGCATATAACTGGTACTTCCTCCCAGATCCTGTGAAGCACGAAAGGACAAAGCTTTTAGAAGTAAATTTAATGAATCCACAGTTTGTGTGTTAACATGTTTTGTTCATTATTTAAATCTGACTTGCATGACACACAAATAAAGGCGATCAGTGACTGCTCAGCCACGTTAAAGGCCTTGAAGAAATGCTTTCATAGCAGAGTTTTAAACTGAAATCATCTTAGGTGGAGAAATGATGGAGTTACAGCATTTGGTCAAATCTCACACTTTCAGTTGATACATCGTAGGTATTTATTTATTTATTTATTTATTTATTTATTTATTTATTTATTTGAAGCACGCCGGGTTCTTTGTGAATGACTGCTCTACAAAAACTTTGCTCACTCTTCCATGTCTGCTTTTGAAACATTTTTCTAAGTTTCCATTGAGCCTTTGTCCACTTTCCCCCTTTGTGTGGCTAATTTTTGCAGACGTGTAAACATTAATTACACAAGGGTGCGGAACAAGACTCACTGGAGGAGATGGTTCCAGATGGCGAGAACATGCCTTGACGTTGTTCAGACAAAACGACCATGTGTACGCTGCAAGTTAGAGACAAATGCCCCCATGGACAGGTTTGCATTGCATTCTGGGTTGCAGGAGGGCGCATAAATGTAAGTAGCTATTGTGAATATTTCCTAGGACTTGTGTGGACCAACATTGAGTTGCATTACGTCACTGATTCTTAAACAGATTATTAGATTAATGCCTTCTTACTCATCAAAACACAAATGCAAATTTCAGTGATTGAAAAACAACAATGGTGGAAAAAAGGGAAAAAATGATGTTGAATAAAGTTAATATTATATTTCATGCATGAAATGGAAGTTATGTACACAACCCCTTAACCCCATAAGCTCACCGTGCTCTATCTCAGACTCCCGATCCACCATGTGCTCAAAGTCCCGTATGATGGAGCACCCAGCCAGGTAGTGGAAGGTCTCGTTCCACAGTTCCTCGTGAACCTTTTCCTCACGCTCCCGACCACTTAGGTATGGCTTGATGTCGAAGGCCACCTCCCACCTCTGGGGTTTCCCACACAGCAGTCCTGACACCACTGCCTTGCAGTCCCCTTTGTGCTGGCTGGCACCACTCAGCTCTGAGGTTTGAGCCTCTTGTTCTGCTTGACAAAACTGGTGTCCATATCCATCTGAAAATTACACGAATCACGCTTTATTCCTACGTAAGGTATGTTTGCACCACTAGTGTTAAACCATTGAATGTCCTTTTAATTGGTTTCCATCTTCATGAGCATCAGGAAATCTTTCCAAAGCTCTCGATTCTTGTTCCACTCCGCAACCGAGTCGGCTTTGTTTGGACCCTTTTCTCTTTCCCCATCTTAGATTTATGATGTTTATCAGAGATTTTCGTGTCTGAATTCATCAATCTAATTGGCCATTAAGCTCTTTTTAGAATCTGCTTCCACATGTAAAAGGAGCCATTCATAATAGCTACTTGCAGCCAACAGACCACTGAACAAAAATCCTGTAAGCAATAATCAACCCGATCCAATAACTGAGCTCCGATGAAGGCCTCGAAGCTGGCCGGCAGCACAGGCAAATGTATTCAGGGACAGATGAATTTGTTTTAATTTAGGTGCATGCAGTTAATGAGAAACTTAACAAGGACAGAGCTAAAACCTAGAAACTGAAAAGCCATTTTAGAGTTTGTAATCTTGTGAGTACACGCTATAAATACTTCCTACGAATGGTCTTGTGTTCACATAATACAGTTTAGGTCTAACAGGGGTCGTGAGCTAGCAGCTCGTCTGAGCCAGCCAAGACCAGCACTTTATTTAATAAACTTTTGTTTCTATGTCAGTGTTAAACTCTTTGCTAAATTTGGTGGTTGAACGTCTAACCCGAGTTGTCTCTCTGTATCCGAAGCACAGGAGATTCAGCTTTTCAGATGCAAGACAACCAGTGATGATATCAAACAGCAGATTTAAAATCAGAGTTCAGAAGGTGCAGCATGAGACAAGATCGCCGAAAGGCAGATGAAGAGTTTTACATTTTGATTTAAATGTTTCTAGCGTTGGGGCACATTTGAGGTCATGAAGAAGCTGATTCCATCTGTGTGCAGCAGAGTAGCTAAAAGTGGCTTCACCCTGTTTGGTTCTGACCCGGGGTTCTAACAGCTGACCGCTTCCTAAGGGTCTGAGAGCCCTGCTGGGTGCATATGCATGTATTTTGGCCCCTTGCCCTCAGCCTGGCCTGCCAGACTTGCCCTCTGTTTAATTCTGCACAGAGAAAAAGAGTCTGGTAACTCACAGGCAGAGAGGCACATGAGGGGCAGGACTAGGCAGCTCAAAAATAACCAATCAGAAAAAAGACAGAAATGCCGACTGTACCGCACGACGCTGTAGCTTTTTAGCTGTAGTCAAAAATGGCGTCTGGCGACAGCACAAGCATCTTTCTTTAGAAGATAGGCTTTCAGGGCTTCTACTAGACATGTCCAAGTCATTTAGA